ACGTAATTCAGCAGAACAAGCAGCTGTTGATGCTGATGATGAACAAGAACGAGAGAAAAATATTCCAATTGTTCATGATGTTGCTGATGTTGTTTGGGTTAAAATTGGTGGACATCCATGGTACGTCTTTGTTTTTTTGTATAAATACATTATTTTTTATTTATCCAGGTGGCCCAGTCTTATTATTCGCGATCCAAATGATACAACACGATGTTTCACTAAAGTGTCTGGTGAGTCATCAAGCAAGGAGAAAATAAAAGAAAAAAAAATCTATTTTGTTTATTATAGGTAATACACGTGCAAAGCGAATGTATTTTGTCGTATTTTATGGTTCAACAGCTGATTTTGCATGGGTTCCTGATGCAGCAATAATTGCATATCAAGGTGTTGAAGCTTTTACTAAATATGCACAAGAAATTGTTGATAAGGTAGATTGAAGATAATTGAATGGAATAGTTTGAAAATTGTTTTTTTTTTTGTTCTTTCAGGCTCAAACAAAATCACAAAAAGAACAATTAACAGAACGATTTCAATTGAAAGTAACTATTGGTCGTCGTGAAGATTGGGAAATGGCTGTACGTGAAGCTGATGAAGCACTTAAACAAACAAGTGAAACACGTCTAGAAGAAATTGAACCGAAAATTCAATTTTATACATCAAAACTTAGTATGAATAATTGATAGAACGCAAGAAAAAAAATTTCATGAAATATTTTTCTTTTTTTTTTTGTTTTCGTAGCTACTCCAAAAGGTCAACCAGGTCGAAAACCAAAATCATCAGTGACAAAATCAGAAGATATATCTGAACCATCAAATGTACCAACATCATCACTTGATCCTAATGATCGTTCATTACTTGCTGAAAAAACTTTTGAATTCAAATCTGACGATGAATCATCTGTTGATGAAGTACCCGTTCGTAAGACACCATCGGTTAAAATAAAATTCAAAAAACAAACATCCAATGATACTGATGCATCAATAACACCACCAGCTAAACGTCGATATATACGTAATTCAACAGCACCAAATGAAAATACAACCGTTTTCGGACAAACAGCTAATGGTTCATCTGTTTCATATCAACCACGTACATCAACAAATACTAATGAAACGCCAACAGTTAATGGAAGTAGTACAGGAAGAAAACGTGGACGACCACGTCTTAGTAAACCATCAGTTATAACAACAAATGGTGATACTCAAAAAACAGAATCAACTATAGATAGTCGATCAATTACAACGAAATCTACAACACCAAAACCAACAATCACTAAGCCACAGGCATTTACGAATACGGTAACAGAAATAAAAAAAAATTTTTTTTTTTATATCGCAAAACACGATCTAAAGGACGTGTTGGCGTTTACGTGTAAACATTTGCACGCGACAGGTTGACGAACACTAAGTTTTCTGTAGGCAAAAATCAGAATCCGAAGCACTAACATCGCTAAGAGCAGATCTGAAAAAACTTTGTCCCAGACATTTTGAGTTAGAGATTAACAGTAATCGCATATCAATAATGTGTTGTGATGACGATAGATAGGATATAAAAATCGTGGTCTTGTTAGCAACAGCAGGTACATCGTTTTTGATATTTTATATCCTGTAATATTTTTTTGTAATGAATAAAATCATTTCTTCGATTTAGTCCCATCCAATATCATCATTAAATAATATTCTTGTTGGACAACATCATCGTTTTGATACTCGTATTGGTTTTCTTTCACCATTTGAAGAACAAGAAATATTTGATACAATTGATCAATTACGTTCAACAAAAACATTTGAAGAAGCTGAACAAATTGCTAAACATCGTTTTGAACATATACTTTGTTTAAATCTTAATAAAACACATGTTGATGTTCCACAAGAATGTATGATATGTTTTTTTTTGTTGTTAAGAAAATTGTTTTTTTGAATCTTTTGTTTTAGGGTTTTATTCATTTCTTTTTGCTCATCCAATATTAATTGTTAAAAATCCTCATTGGTTTGATGAGAAAAAAAATTCAGATTCATTAATCGATAATGATTTATTGAATGATATTAATCGTACTCAATCATCGAGTAGTTTACATGTATTGAAACATCAATTATCAATTTTATCAAAATTATATCATAATGAATTACAAGTTCGTCAAGCAGGTGTTAATACAAATAAATAAAATTTTGTTTGAAATACAAAAAGAAAATTTATCTAAATGTATAGTTTTTTGTTTTCTATTTTTCACCTGCGTTTATTGTAGGAGAAAAAGAAAACTTGAGTTTAACTCAATTCCCCTGGTTGCAATAATTTGAAAAAAAAAGAAAAAAAAATTTTTTTTTGTGTATGTGGATGAAAAAAGAAATATAATTGTGTATGTGTAGATCTTTGTCTTCATTCTATTCTTGTATTATTGTTGTTGTTCTTGATGTTTTCGTTTGGTTTTTTTTCCTTTCTGAAATAAAATAATTTTTTTCGTAGAGTCGAAAAAATCGATGAAAATTTTGGAGATGGTTTCTTTTTTTGTTATGCTATGGATATTTCAAGATGAAATCTTCTGAACTAATTTAATTGATGGGTTAACTTGACGTGCAGAAGGAGATTTTGGACTTGTTTGTGCACTCATGGAACTTCTTGAAAAGATTTACCTATATGTAATACTCAAGGAGTTATACCCAAGGAATATAGATGTGGTTCAAGGAAAAATCCACACCCTGTTAAGACTTCGATATCAATTGGTTTTTTTAAAATTTTGATAGTCCTTGACGTTAAGAGTCAGAAGGAAAAAATGAAACGCAAAGGGGACAGTTTTTTAATGGGGAAAAATCCAATAACATACAGCATGATTCACTTAATTTTACTAGGTTTTCTTCAGTTTTTTATATTTCTTCAAAGCGTCAACAATTTTTTATTTCTATATGATTTGATAGAGCATTGGTTACTCTATCCAATAGTATAGTTTTCCTTTTGATTTATTTTAAATCTTGATAAGAAACTAAATAAATTTTGAGAAACATAGAAAAAAAATCTTTTTTTTTTCTGCACACTATCTAGGTTTTTTCCTCAAACAATTGAAATAATTATCATGTACTCGACAGAGAAACATTCTAAACTCTTATGTGATTTGACAGAGAATTAATTGCTCTCTCAAACGGTATGTTTGTCCATCAGTTTGATGCTCATCTTGATTAGAAATTTGGCGAACTGATAGCAGTACTTTTCAGAAATAGTTAACTATTTATTCTGATCGAGTAGCTTATACTCATGCAACTATCACAATCCTTTCCCATTAATATATGGCTAAATAGAGCAACAATGGTGTGAGCGTGGGTGTTGGCATTATTTTCTCTTCAACTACATCCACACCCTCATTCGAAGAATATCAAATTATGAGACGAGAAATGCGGTAAGAACAAAATGGATCATATCGAATAATCTTACTTAATCAAGATCTAGAATGAGTTCTCGGTGTTTCTTGGAAAAATGAGCTTCCGAAAATCATAGGTACATCTCTCTATACAAAATTGAATGAAGTCCGAAATATAATTTATGAAAGTAAGTGTCATTCAACAGTGATTGATGTAGAACAACGTAAGCATGATCATGAAAATTCTAAAAAATATGATGAATGTCCTGTTAACAGATGACATCGATACAGTAAAGAAGATTCTATTAGAACGAAATCGAGAAGCAAATTTAACGATTCTGAACATATTCATGTCAAACAAAAGAATATAAGATGACAGAACGATAACTATAAAAAGACAATTCGAAAACAGATCTAGAAAACAAAAAACTTCTAATACATTTTCTTTTAACTATATTTCATTCTCTATAATGATTTATAGGTACTCCATGGCTAAACAAACATGCTATACCAAAACCTTTTACGACTATCTTAAATTAATTCTGAGTAATCTTTTTAATAAAAACTTGAAGAAATTCAATCTGATAGATTTTGTATACTATCTACATGAATAAAAAGTACTATTGTTGATAATAAATTGTTTTTCTTTTTGTATTTTTTTTCGTACAGAAAATGGTTTTAAACTAAAGAAGGGTATTTTTCCGATTTTCTATTTGAAAGATAAAAGAGAATCAACAGCATTCACTAGTATTTTTTCTTTATTTGTTTTATTTATCGTAAATCTTATATCATTATCTTGCAATATATTTTTTTCGGAAAAACTTTAAAAAAATTAATATTTATTCATTTCTTTTTTTAATATTTTTATCATTTGCAGTATGAATTTTTATTGTATATTATTTTTCATGTCACATTAAATTCATAATACTCCGACCAATTTTGCAAATGTTTTCTCCTTTTTCACCATGATGTACAAAGGCGCCCGTGAATTCAATGAACGATGAGGAACGCCCTCTTTCATATTTTAGAGGTTACACGTCATTTTGATGCAATGGCGATTTTGTGTGTGTAGCTTATCTCAACCCTACTTCTCGGTTCGAAAAACAAAGAATTGGTCAAATGTTCTACACCAATCCTTTGATATTGACACCGAGTGACCTCTGTGAAAAGGTTTTCATAAAAAAGTTTCTCTTAAATTTAAATAAAAATGTTTTAAAATGAAAATAAATTTACATATGTTCTAAAAAAAAATCATTTTTCAATAATATTGCATCAATCTTTCCTATAGGCCTCTGTTGTATAACTTTGCACTACCAATCATTCCCAGGTGGATCATTCCGGCCGTCGGAAACGGCGTCGTATCCGGCCTGAAACGACTATAAAACGGCGAATTACTGCAGTAATTTTGGCTTTATTTCGCCGTAATCCGTCATACCATATTACGACCACCGTCTATCGCTAGAAAACGGCGGTCGTTTTTTTCCGGTTTTGCTTCCGTAATCTGGTATGACGGATTACGGTGCCGTTTATCGACGTTTTACATCGTTAATCGCCGTTTCAGGCCGTTTACGACGCCGTTTTATTGGACCTGGGTTGTACTGTTTTCTTTTTTTACAAATAATTTCAACCGACAACAGCGGAAAATAAAATCATGAAACGAGCTCTTGTATCTTTAGTTCGTCAACGAGCACTTGCTCTTAGTTCTGAATCAGTAAAAGTAAATTTATATATTAATAAATCATTTTTTCCTATTGTCTTATTTCTTTTATTGTTTCAAAGTATCTTGGATGCAGTCATGTTTTTGCTTTATCAACATCTCGACCAATGTCGACAACATTAACACGTTATGCTGCCCAAACAGCACAAAGAACGCCAAAAGTATCTATTTCATCGAACATAATATTTGGTTTTTCATAAATATATTTTTTTGCAATTAGTTGTTTACAGAGATTAGTATGGAGCAATACAAACAAGTTTTTAATGTTATTTACAAGATCTTAATGGATCATCACTTAATACAATTTGATCATCATGAAGAAGAAAAGAAACAGGATGCTTTTACTGCTTGTATGCCAATTCTGAAAAAAATTGTTGAACATAATGATAAAGATTTGCATCAATGGTTATCTAAATTATTGGTACAATTGAATATTACTGCTAATGATAAACAAAATCTTAATGAAATTTTCTCGACGATTCTGTTTGAAATACAAAATTTAAAAGATCGATTAACAAATCAGGAATCAAAAATTGAATCTCAAGAATTACGTATTCAAACCCTCGAATTAAAGCAACAAATGTAAGACACAAGTATCAAAGCATTTGATATAGCAAGGCTATTTCGATTTTATTTCCTCGACGATATTATCAAACAAGTGTGGCCAGCAATGAACACATGGCCAAAATTCACAAGTAATTCATAAAAACCAAATAAGAAAGTTTGAAAAAACGATTAATAATTTCTACGTTTATTTTAGTCGAATGGTCTATTCGTGAGCAAGAAGCTATGGTGTCACTGAACATTGACAGGAAATTTGTTGATCCAAAAGAAGATTTAAATGTACAAAATCATGAACGCGTACGAACTTTCATTGAACCAATTGAAAGTGAATTAAAACGAGTGACTATGTTGAAATTGAAATTAATTGATTTACGTAAAATAGCGAGTGATCGATTTCAGTATGCTCATGAGCCCATCCGATCGGTAGCTGAACAACGAGATATGATTACAAAATGTCTTAATCATGTTTATCCTGCCGAATATAAATACACTTTAATGGTAAAGAACATGGTGCTCAAATTAGCTGAACGTGATCAAAATATTTCTAAAAGCGGATTAAAAGATTTTCGCAAGTAAAAAAATATTCATATGTATTTGTCTTTTTTGTGATTATAAAAAATAAAAATAAAAGAACATTTTGATTATAAAGACAGATGTAGCCATCGTGGAAAATGAAAACAAACTATAAGAAAATAATCTATCAAATAATAAGCGATTGACAAACAAACTCAATACATGATGGCATACCATAGTACAATGTGGTATGCCGATAAGTCAGCTGACAAATTGATTTCTAGAATGGATGTAAGAAGGCATTTTGATTGTGTACAGTCGTCTTAAACTAAAGAATGATTGAAGTATTCAGTATCTTTTCTAATGAGGTCTAAATCTACCAATATACAGTTACAAAGAGTTAATTCATAGATTGCTGATTATTTAAAAACTTATTATAGATACTTTTGATTATTTCTTCTCAATAAAATATGAGTGAAAATTTAAATAAAAAATAGTTTCTCTCTTTATGATATAACGTTAACTTTAATTTTACTGCCACTGTAACAATAAAAAAAGCTTCTCTAAATATATTCTCTGAATAAAAGATAATCTCATTGACAATAACAAAACAAAATTGTTGGAAAAATAAATTTATAACTAAATATTAACTGATTTCAATGAATTAATAATTCATTGTAGAATATCTTCACCTTGATAGTAAGTTTAAATAAATTCATTTGTAACATCTAAAAAGCATTGTTCAATAGTTGCTTGACGATTTCAAGATAATAAGCGTTGCAAAAGTCTTTGGAAAAATGTCAGGCAGTGTTAGACTATATTGCTGACTTCTGAACCAATCAAATTTTTTTTTGTTAGAAAGAGCAATGTCCGAACTACAAATTTTGTAGCAGACATATTTTTCCAGAACGAATCTGAGAAGGAGGAAAAGCTCAAAAACCAAACACCTCTATAAAATTCTTGCAACACTTTCGCAACTTGAGAAGCCTGTATTTCTCAATTGTTTTGAGCTACACTGGATCAATTTTGAACACAAAATACACCAAAATATAGCGGATCAAAAACTCTATCAATACCAGCTTTGAAGGATTTCTTTGGATCTACTCTTGACTCTTTAATCAAAAAAGTTTGAAACATGAAATCTTTGGAAGATTGAGTTTTTTTTACAAGAACTATCGATTTACAAAAATGTCAGCCACCATCTCCAGAAATCACATATGAAGTGAATTCTTTTTGCATTATTTGATTGAAATATGTCCAATCGTAGAACTTTAGCAGCAAAAAATAATTCATTAAAGTACTTTCATCATTGTAAAATGCTCAAGTAGTCAGGACGACCAAATTACTCAGTGTCTTTCAGAAAGGGCTATTTATTGATATAGAAACCAGAAACGAATTGAACTTTCAATACACCATTAGACAGACCACTCTTTGTGCTACAAAAAGTCATCATTGAACGTGCTTTCTGGTTTTCTCTTCTAATACAAAAAACTAATAATAAATAGAAAATGATGTTGCTCGATGGTGAAGTTGCAAGAACTTTTTAGAGGTGTTTGGTTTTTGAGCTTTTCCTCCTTCTCAGATTCGTTCTGGAAAAATATGTCTGCTACAAAATTTGTAGTTCGGACATTGCTCTTTCTAACAAAAAAAAATTGATTGGTTCAAAAGTCAGCAATATAGTCTAACACTGCTTGACATTTTTCCAAAGACTTTTGCAACGCTTAATAAAAAAACCTAACATGCATTAAATATCTTGGTATGTATTAAAAAGACTGAAACAAAAGACGTCGAAACAAAAAATGTCGAAAAAAAAACGCTGAAGAAAAGACTAGGACAATGACAAAGCAAAGCAGAACCACGGCTGCCATACGTACCCCATTTTGGGGTACAATACCCCATTTTACCTTTTTGTACCACAGAAAAATTTGTACCCCTGAGGTACACATTTTGTACCCCATTTGGATTTTTGAGTTTTTCCAGTCATAAATTAGTCTATATTAAAACGAACTATGTTTTTGAATCGAATTTGTGTCATTTTTGCATAAAGAATTAAAGTGAAGAGTTATATTAATGAGTTGATCAAGGACCATCAACACTCTTTTTATTCATTTAGTTTTGCCTTGACTTTTTCTGTTTCGCATGCTTATTTTCACTCCCAAAATCGAAACTAAGTTCGATGAGCCACTTGGTTTTTCTCTTTATCTTACTATTTTGTGTGTCATATTTGACCGGCACATCCTATTTATAAAATTAGTTTGGATTTAAGCTTTTATTGAATAGATGAGGATATTAATTTTTCTTCAGACTTCACCAGAGAAAGTAAAATACAAGCATTGAAGAGTCTGATCTACAAACAACAGCAATAATTGAAGAATCTAGTACTTCTACTAAAAACTCGACTACAACTAAGAAAGGGAAAAACTTCATCAACAAAGTCGAAACGACATTATAGTCTCAACAGGAAATGAGCGACGAGTCCAAAAATGCAGTGCTTCTTCAGATATATAAAACTAATCCATATGAGGTTTGTTCTAGCTGTAAATCAGATTTTTCGACGACGACTAATGGGATACCAGCTTCTTTTGCTTTGTCGAGGGTGGCTCGATTGTTTATTTCTGTTCGTAATTGATTACAAAAGACGAGAATAGGTGCATCACACCAGGGTTTCTCTTTCAGCGATTGAACGATTTTTCCAGAGCCGATAATTCGCGTACAGAGATAGTCAAAATCGGCGCGTGTCGTTTCCCCCAAACGAAGATGATTGAGTAGAGTCAAATACTTTTGATCTTCGGTTCTCATTTGCTGCGTCAACTTCGTGATTGTGTTGATTTGTAGAACCAATGAGTGTCCAACCCCGTACTGAACATCAGTCTCTCTGGGCAAACGAGTAGAAAGGTCATGCTCGAGATTTGTATATAGAGGTTTGTCGAGGATTGGCATATGTTGTATTTAATCGCCGAAAATAATAATATTGATACCACCAAAAGGCACTTCGGATGGCGCCCGCTTCCCAAGAGTAATTAACACATTTAATCGAGCTAATAATCGAAGCCCAACCATGGAAATTTCGTCGATAATCAGATAATTCACATGTTTCCAATCGTTTTCAATGTTCGATGATCCTGGTTTCGTCGTCTTTTTTTGGCGTTTGGTGTTGCGTAGGTATCCTAAGAAAGAGTGAATCGTGTGGCCTCCAATGAGTGAGGCAGATACGACTGTGGATCCGAGCTTTTGAAGTTTTTCTGTTCGTTGCGTTTCAACGAAATAGCAAGTAATTGCATCGATGAGTCGAGATTTACCTGTGCTTCCAGGCCCTGGTACGCACATAATCAATTGTTGCTGATTCTCACCTGGCAAGGAAATAGTTAATCGAGAAAAAAAGATGACTTATTTTTACCTGTGTTCAGGTGACTTTCTCCATCAAGGTGTCGGCAGATAATATAAAAAGCTCGTGCTTGCTCATTGTTGAGTGTAAACTTCTCACAGACTTGTTGACGAGTCAGAATCGGTGATATGTCCGTTGTAACAGACTGAATTCGATCGCTAATTTGTGTTGCACCTTCAGCAATATAGTTTGTAGTAGTAGTTGAGACCAGTTTATCAGAAGCATAGTTGAGTGGCGGAGGAGCATCCTCTAAGATACTCTGTTGTCGTCTACGAAGAGCATCAGATTTTATGGCGGCTTACCATGCAGCATTTTGCTGCTCTGAATGCCGAGTTTTGACAGAGAAATATGACAGAGAAGTAGCAGGTATAAAGGATTGATCATGTTCTAATCAGAAAAATGCTTTTACATATTCAAAGTTACGATGAAGAAAACAAACTTACTGGTACAATTCGAAAATCGGCCAACCTCATGTAAACAGCGAAGTGCTTCATCTCGATAAAGTTGCTCTTTTTCAGAAAGATGACTGATGACAGACGATGCATTGTTATCTGATAGACTATCGAGGAAGTTCAGATATGTTTCGTTTTGATCGAGATCCTCATCATCACTATTGATACGCATGTTTCGAGGAAAAAGACGAGGATCTATTTGGTCACTGGTTTGAACATTTGCAATAACTTGTTGTAGATGTGCATCACGATCTTTCTTGCATTCATACAAGAGTTGAATATTCTCGATAATCTGTTGTGATTCTGTTGAAAGACTTTCTTGTCGTGAGGAAAGTGCTTCGTACCAACTCTGATTGACATCACAAAGATCTTTCACAGCTCTCCACGGAATAAAAAGGGTAGCTATTGCTCGGCTGTATCTTTCTTGCGTTTCTTCTCTATCTTTACGTGGAATCTGTGGACCAACGAGTACAGAAACAACAGATTTAAGATGCTTAATTATGCTATGAGTACTTGCTTGCGGATGTTCAGTCATAAATGTGTATCTTTCTTGAGGTGGACGACCTGGGACTACTCGAACACCGTCAGTATTTGTGGGTGGGTGATCTACAGTATGCCGATCCTTGTCAGTGAATGATCTCCGATGAAAGTGACTGACAAATTCGTATAAACAGACTGACTCCAATGCAGGAGACCGAAATTGATAATCGATTCGTAGATTGACAAGAACTAATTTTTGTTCATCAGTAGATTGTTCGATCGAGAAGTGTTCCGCCATCGCAGCAACATTATCCTCCTCTTCATCCTCGACGATGTCGATCGGATTTGTATTTGTCACTTGTGTAGATGTGGAAGACGCAGAAAGAGCTGCTTTGTTTTGGTCGAGTTCATTCTGAAGATAGCGTTCGATAGCTATAAGAAAGATATTAGCAAATCCATGACTGGTGTAATGATCGCCATAATCCATTAGATAAGTGGATACTTGAACACCAGAGAGTTCTTGTTGCGAAGCAAGTGAGTTATAGCAGCGTAGGGCAAGCTTTCGAGCTTTGTCGATAGAATTTTCAGTTAAATTAATATTATCATTCGGTCCAACAGCCTTCTGGACAAGAGAAAATGTGTCATGAAAGGATACATTTGTCTTTGTGATGTAGTCGGTACAATAATACACGAGTGCTTTGGCATCCGTGCCTGATCAGATAAATTTGATGTCCATATTGCAACGA